ATCTATCATTTACAGAGGAAAAAATACCGAGGAAATCTGAGGTGGTGTGGATGTTAACATGGATCTGAATCGTTAATCGATTAGCAATAGACACGGGAGAGCCGAGTTTCAACTTGTTACATTTCAGACGTTTATTCATAAAAGAATATATTAGACATTGGGGATAATTAGTAGTTACCCTGATTCCTCTTGCGGGTAAAGTGTTAGTTTGATTAAAGAAGAAATAAAATTAAGGAAGATCCCATCTTTTGAACTTAAACCACAGAATTATCGGAATCTTCAAAAACCCAATTTCTATTTTTATGTTTATGTATGAACCGCACATTTTACGCATTAATATTTGAAGAATCATTTTAAAAATATCGCGAGGTGATAAAAATGAAGTACGTCAGCGAGGGCCCAATTGCACACTTCATACAAAAGAATTGTTTGAACCTCGCTCACCACTAATATTAGAAATAATATATTTAAGTCGATCCATTGCGAAATACATGATAGGAGAGCTGATTTTTCTCTCCGGTCGAGTTCGCTGACTAATCTTGGATTTTGAAGGCAAAGATGTAAGAGCTGAGGCAGTTGAAAGATTGGCTAGTTTTGTTAGTAAAAGGGATTCGAGGTCACTTTCCTTCCACTAAAGTTCGTAAAACGATTGTTCGAATTGCACGTGAAGAAAGAGTAATTTATGACACCTTCTGTAGAAATAAATAAGCTTGGAAGTCAACATCTGACTCAGCAAGTTTTTCAAATATGTAAAAAAAAACGACGACGAACAGCTGTCAGTTGATACCGTAGAAATTGGCCGGCCAGAACTTCCTGTATCAGTGCCAACCTGATTCACAGCACTGATTGAGATCCTATAAAGCCTGTGCTCTTTTGCTCTTTGTTACTAGTGAGTTTCTCTGTTCGTGTAAATGTCAAACAATAAATCCCATTGTTTGTTATACTCCTCAAAGGTTTGAAAGCCGGAATTATGTGCGAAGCAGTTCGTATTTCGCCGTAGTTGTTTTACTCTAGATTCGCTGATAAGTGTGAAAGCTCGGAGAACTTCCGCTTTCTTTTTCGCTTTATTGAATTTCCTCCTGATACTCTCGCTCCTGCTTCTATGCGGCACAAAATAGCGGACCTCCTCAAGATCATTGGACCACTGAACGCTTTTCTTCCTTGCTGATTTGCTTCTTCTTTGTCTCAGCCTCTCTTGCCTATACTCGGCGCCATGGCAAAAGCTTGTAAATTCACAACTCATTGATCTGCGTAAAGACATGATTCTTTATGAAATTAAAAGTTGACAACCAGTTTGATTACTGCCGTGTGATGTGTTAGGAGTTAATCTTGAAAAGGAGGAAACTGCCCGGCAAGCCGGCGAAAGTTTCAATTACAGAATTGTAGTTGCCTTGAATGGCGAAACTAAGATATGTATGTACGCGTTAAAATTTTTTCTTTATAACAATCGTGGGTCAGATTACGCGTTTATGAAAAGGGCACAAGTTGATTAATAATTAATTTTGTGTCATGATTGCAGCTTGATAAAGGGAAGGAGAGTTGTTCCAATGCGGTTAAAAGTTGCTTATTATTATGTTAAGGATTCTAAGGACACCTCCGCCCCCTCAATCAGTGAGAGCTTTTGCAGCTGAGGACTAAATACTCGTTACTCCTCGTACTATGCACCATGGGAAGCTTTAAAATGTCATTCCCCACCCCCCACCCCCCCCGCGCAGTTTTCATGATTTTCGGCGGGCGTCGCAATTGATCATTCCCACATTGATAGCGACGAGAGTAAATCGACTAAACTTTGCGAATCGCCATTTAAATATCACGAGCAGTTTAGAATTGTTATCTGCCCCCTCTATTTGAAGGGCCTTCTTTTCTCTAAGAGAAAAACTATTATAACTGTACAGTAACATTTTTTAAAAATGGTCGATACGGACGGTCAGAGCCACTTTACGATACTTGCATTTTGAATATTTAATCTGCGCTAAGAATCAAACAGGTAAAACAACAAGGTCTTACGAAACAGGTAGAAAGTACGAGATAACTTCTGTCCTTTGTAAGTCGAGCCTATTTACTTTTTAAACATTGCCAACAAAAATTCATAGCGAAAAAAACTGACCTTTCGTAAGAAAAGAAAATTGTGCTTCGTTTTAACCATTGCATCATTTCAGTCAGTAGTTCTCTCCTTGCGTCTACTTGAACTGTACAACAACAAAAAAGCACCTGAGGGATTTTCAACTTGCATTTCCGTCATGACGCCAGCACTTTTTTTTTTTAAATTGATCCGATTTATCGAGTTATGAAATAGCGGAAGCAACGGGGTAGACTCGTCCCACACAAAATTACACAGGAGGTTTAAAGCTCATGAGCTATCGTTGATCATTGAACCCAAACAAGACAAACACAATGGTTGGCCCCTGTGTTTTACGAACTTCCTCGACATTACCGGAAACAAAGTTCGTGAACACTCGGCCTAATCTCGGACAAAGTACAAGAAAATATCAGAATAATTTGCGGGGGTGGTCCTTTCTTTTGAGACAGGTCTCTTCATCGGAGAATGAAAAAAGAAGAAAAGTTTTTTTTTAATTTTAAAGCCGAGCTGTCTGTTTTGTTGCCACCAGTTGCTATATGTTTGATCCACATTTGGGTCCAAAAGTTGTCACAAATTATTCGGATACTCCATTTGTGAACTGTCAAATCTGTTTCAGTTTATTGAAAATTTAGCTTCTTCAATGAAATAGCTAAAGAAATAATATTCAGTCCAGAGTATGTTGTAAAGTCTACGGTCTTCTTGTTATCTTCTGTTGTAAGGCTCAATGTTCGTTCTTTTGATCTATTTTCCTTTTAGAAGTCATTCTTTGATTTGAGGCAGGTTTGGTTACACAATTTCAGGCTGATTGAGCGGAAGCAAGCTATGGGTTCGTCGGTTACACCGGCCACACAATTTCCGTTTTACCGCAACTATTTCACTTTCTTCATTTTGTTATCAGTTATCCATTTATATTTACTCCTTCGTCGGAGTGTGACTTGTTTGCATCATCACACAGAGATCGCTGGAAATTCAATTATTTAGATTAGTCTGTTGAACCAACAAGATCTCAGTCAGTATTGATTAACTTTACAATATAGAGGCGTCCAAAAAGGTTTCAATTTAATATTCAACTCCAACAGATCCAGTAAACAGAAGCAATTTACTATCTCTCGCCCTTTTAGGCCTTTATGCCGCAGTAAAATGTCACTGTTCCTGCCGCTGTTCCCGAAAAAAAAAAACCAATTCGTTAATTCGCTTCTCGATGAGAGATTGATCGTTGATCTCCGAGAGAGAACTTTTTTATGTTCAAATGATAAGAAAAACACTTAGTCTATGTTCTTGATTTCCTTCAGTGTTCTTGATGTGCATTTTAGCTGGAATTTTATTTTGCTTCAAAAGATGACAGTTTATCAGTCGCCCTCGGCGCCAACATTTAAAACAACTGATTTTTAACTGATTGACTAGAGTCCGTTGTGCGTTTCAAAATTCTTTTTTTATCACAAGCCGGGTATTAAATCTATGCTAAAAAAGGCGGCGGCGAGCGAGAGAGCTAGAACCCTGTTTGAATTATCTGACGAATTGCCCTTTGTCCATACTCATGAATGTTAAACTTGTCCTGGTTTAAAGTTTTTTTTTTCTTTTTTTGTTCAACGCAGTTTTTCCGTTTGAGAGGCAAAACGTTTAATAGTCTAAAATCATTTGTGTCCATGCAAGCATAGATATACAGGCCAGTGATGTATCGCGTATCTGTAGCACAGTCGACAATTGCAAGGAAGAGGGCCTTAGATGTCTCTTCGACTGCGATTCCTTTCAGCTGCTAAATGAAAATCTTTTTGCGGTTATTTCCCGGATGCTACGCTAAATTTAATTCTGGTGGCACCCCTTAAGCCAGTGCCCTTAGGGAAAATAATATAATAGCGCGACATATTTTTGGAAAGATTTTATATTTTCTGACCTATAGGTGTGAAATCAATCTTGTGATACGTTACATAAATATAACACGTTATAATTGAAACATACTCTTTACTCATCACTAAAAGAGCACATAAGCGATCTCACTTTCGATTATTACGCTTGCTGTATTACCTGCTTCCCCTATTGGAAATTAACATAATCATTCACATTGATCAAAAATAACGTTGTAAAAAAATACGAACTCGTTTACTGTATTAATCATTTTTCCTTAATATTAAAATATTGTATTTGTTACTGTACACGTATATAAATACAAATGATCGCGTTTCCGAGCAGGTTAATGGTTGGCCTGATAATTTTCTGCTATAAAAATGTTCAGAGGAAAAATCTTTTTGTTATAAATTATAAAAGCTCCTTGCTGCGAAAATTTACATGTTCCCTTATTGACCTCATAATTTTTTGAAGAGATTTACGATGTACTGGTTGATTTTATTGTTTTTTTTTTTCGTAACACTCTCTATGCATCAAGCTTCTTCTTGACTGATCGCTAAGTCACTTGTTCCACTATGAACTGCGTCTTTGGAAACTCCTCCGCAAAAGGTTGACGGCAAGGGATAAAATTTCCATAAACTGAATAAACCATAAGTGAGATGGACTCCCCGTAAGTCTGTGTCCTACTTTATTTTTTCGTCGTCCTCATCATCCGTTGATTCATCGTTACTAACTCCTGGTGTTTCGAATAGTTTGTCCCATTCTTTGATCAGATCTTCGTAAGTGACACGTTCTGCGTCAAATGAACCACTTTGTCCATGTCTGAGAATGAATTCAAGCCCATTCTGAACAGCGTTCGCGCTCAGTTCGCCCATACTTGTTATGATACGCAGCGGTTTGTCTGTAATTTCGCTTGCCTTTCTTCTTATCTTGGTCATTTTCTTCTTAAAACTCTTTCGCAGGCGATTTGGAGGCACAAAATAACGAACTTCTTCTAAGTTAACCGCCCACTGGACTCTCTTGTCGGGCAATGTGGTGCCTGTGCAGCTATCGTGGTTGAAACTATCCATGGTGTTTGTTTGTCAACAGAGGATATCTTACGGTCTGATGCTGTTGGATTGATCTTATATTCACACGACTGGCATCGAAATCGAGTAGTGGTACTGCAGTCAGCAGTACCTCCATAATTTAACCACTTGGATTTTCCCACGCAATGTCGCGTTTAATAGTTAGATATTTAATTGCCAAGTTCCCAAAAGGAAGCGGAGATATTTTTAGGTTCATTGACGAAAGCTTTAGTCCTATTTTGAAAGTTTACATTAATTCATTTGTTCTACTCGCGTCATAGCTTAAGGATTTGCGTCAGAAAACCTTCAGTGGCTAAAGAGACTAGAATTTTCTCTTGTTCATTTTGCTTCCAAATTTCTTAAAACCAGTACCTTTTTTTCTAGTTGAAAAGATCTCTCTTCATATTTGTTTCTTCTCGGTTACTGTGTTTAAAATTGTTTTTCGCTCGATTATTTCTCAACATGTTTTGCGGTCATATTAAATCAGCAACAGCCCCAACAGCTTACGAACAGGTGTCTTTCATGCGATTGGTTATTCTAGTAAGTGAGTGACACTTAGATGTCGGAAGTAATAAATGACTCTCTATCAAGTTTGATGAATACGTGATGGTTTTTTGACTCCCTACAACACTCGCTAAGACGATTGGCAATTGAATGTTCTTCGGGAAGTCTTTCTAAAGTTTCATATCGCCTAAAAAGCATTACATATCATATTAGCTACTAACAATCCAAACGAGATTCCACGCACGGATCAAAGGCATGGGTACGAATTTTGACTGCGGATCAGATTAAGAATTGTTGAGAGCGGAAATCACCAGAACGTGTGACGGGAACAGGTAGTCTGTTGATTCCGACATCCACCGATGATACCAAATTGCTTTGCACTTTTAAAAACGTACAGCGATAAGTGTTTGAGATGTGTTCAGTGCCTTTTATAAAATGTAGGTACTCATTTTTAGCAAGAATTTTGTTTGTTTCCATCGAAAAATGTGTCTCCAACTCAACTTGTTTACTTGCGACGATCATGTTCACCAAAGCGAGTCTCAAAAGTGTGACGTTGTATTCGTTAACTGTCAAGGTTCAGCACACTCTTTATAGCCTTGAAATACAACTAACTTTGTCAGTACGTCATGTGTTACAAATAAGACTAGGTTTACACTAGAGGAAATTGTTCCGGATTCGTGATGAATCCGAAACGTTTTAGTACCGGACTGATTTGCCGTTTACACGAAAGTGGACGAATCCGAATTAAAAACACCCTTGTTTGGCCATGTCTCTGGAGATCTTGAATCCGGAATTTAAAGTGGGAGCTTTAAATCCGATAACTTTTGAATCCGGAAAGTTTTGTTGTGTAACCGCTTTTTTCCACGAATCCGGATACTATTTCCGCCTGCAATCTTTTGAGTTTGCGGTGAAACCAAAATGGAAGATCTGGTGCTAATATTGCTGGCGGTCTCCGGTTGCCTAATCTTGTTGCAGGTTCAGGCGATAAATTTAATCATGTGTACCGCAGTATTTCTGAGGAAACGCAAATTATTATTGCAAGGAAGTTTAACGTCAGCCACACTTAACCGCCGACGACGTAGATGGCTTGGTATCTGTCCAGCTCAAATTTGCCTCAGTGGCATCTGGATCTACTCTAGACTTTTTTGGGGGAAGCATTTTCACTTTGTCAATCGAACGACGAAACAACACTGGGCTTGGTAACCATTCCATTTCGAATGTTCCCGGAGTTGTCGTTGTGTGTAAACGGTCAGGAATCCGAATATCCTTTCAGTGTAAACGCCTACGAATCCGAATACTCCAAAATTGATGAATCCGGAAACATTTACGAATCCGGAAAACTCTCCTCTAGTGTAAACCTAGTCTTTCTTNNNTCACGAACACGTGCGATGAGGTCTGCTCATTTTCCGCTCAATTTCAAGCCTCTACACTTTAACTAACGCTTCAATTGTGTGTTTGTATAGTTCTCTTGGTCTTGCTCGAACTTTGAGCCAGGAACACCGTCGTTTTGATTTAAAATACGAGCTTTAGAGGCGTGTGAACTAGAGATGGGCGCATCATCGCCCATATTCAATTACTCGAGAAGCCTGTTTGTTTGTCCTAATTGCTCTAGGGGGTCAAAATTTCGTGACGTCACAAACGCGCAGCGCCATTCAATTCGGGGTCAGGGTTAGGCAGGCCTTGTTTCTAAGGCTTTCTCATTGCCTTGAAATTTTTTAGTGTTTTATTAACGCCAGCTACTGTTTCTTGCCTACTGAACCAGTTGATGATCGATCTTAGGTATAGGATCGAGAAAAGACCGGCGCAAACGTAGTCAAAGGTGGGATATTCTTGAGCGCACAGATGTTTTTAACCGTACCACGGAAGGGATTTTTTTTTCTCACTATTGATAAAAACATTAAGATAGCCGCTTACGTTCTGCTCTTGAGCTAATAGCTTTGCCTAAATTTTCTTTCGTGCAATTCTTTTTCTATGTTTGGTTTCTATTCTTACTTTTTACTGTCCATCTTTTCCCCTAACCTTTTACTCAGTGTGTCTGCAGGTGTGTGTGTTAACCGGAAGTCAATGGAAAAGTCAGGGAAAATTCCCAGAAAACCACCGGAAGTTCTTTGTGGTTTCATACAATGCCATCGTAAGCACCTTCACACGCAGTAGTAATCTTCTGAAATCCGTCGAAAGGAGAACCAAGAAACAGTGTTAAAAAATGAGTGGAAAAATGAATGAATGGGAAAGCTTGAATACCACTTTAAATCGCTTTACTGATAACGTTGTCAAATTTCGTCGTGACAGCAGAACGAAGGCCTTAAAATGCTGGCGTCCAATCGTCGATGGAATAGTAGATTATGTGAAACGTAAAGATGACCGCTTCCACGCTCTCAGCGTCTTTCACAAAGGAAGCTATTACGAAAGATCTAAAGTAGGAGAACCTGATGAATTCGACTTGATGTTGGTCATGGATAACTTAGAGCTGTATGACGAACCATTCGAAGAAGATGATGGCTTGAGCGAGCCACCAATTGGTAAGGTTAGGCAATGTTCAAACGCCCAACATTTCACGAGCTAAACTTGATTTTCGAAAGCTGGCCACAATCGTTGCAGTCCTCGATCAGTTCTGCTATAGGCTCAAGATTTCTTCAAAGGAAAAGCGTAGTACATGCAGAATTTAAAAGAGAGAGAACACAGAGATGACGCCGAGATAGTTAGGGTCACTAACTCCAATTTCAAAAACAGAGCCTCTTTTATTTTTTCTTCTGGAAATTTTTCACTATCTAGTCCTTTGGTCTCAGTAACGATTACAAAAGCACGACGAGAACCTTTTGATTAAGTTTGCCTTACCTTTCTGAGTCACAAGTCGTTGATAATTTCAGGCAAGTAACAATTAAGAAGCTTGCGCGAGAAATGTTTTTCTGTTTGTTCCTTCACTCTGTTGAAAACATAAATTAAATTATATCAGGTGGAAAGAGGTAACAACTGATTGTCTGTTTTCCATGCAAATCACAGGCAGAAATCATTCTCGTTCTCTTGCAGGATTCACCACGGTTATGATTGACCAGGGTGAAGAAAAGCCATGGAAGCGAGACGAATGTGTAAATAGACGAGGAATGCTAAATGCTACTCGAGTTAAGGCAGTTTTTAAAAGGCTGGCGGACGAAGCCATTCAGGATATGAAGTCAAAGGGACATTGGAGGTAAAATAAGCTTGACAAGCATACCAATAGTATAATCCTCTGGCATTTTTACATAGAAGCGCGATAAAAATCCCCTTATGAGGGCTGTACGCGATGATACGAGAACGCCATACGTGGTAATAAAATATACATTATTTACCAAGTTCTTGGTTATAGGCCATGATGATGACGTGGTTCTATTCGTTAAAAAAGTGATTTTTATTGTGGAAAAACTCCAAAAAAAAAAAAAAGCTTATTATAAATATATTTTGATGTTTTTGAAACTGCTGTTGCCAAAAACCATCAGTCATCATGTCATATCTCAAAAATGAAAGATTCCTAGAATTTGCAAACCTGTTAAAGGCCCATCTCTCTTTTTGCTTGCTTAACATGCGCAATCTAAAACAGTCAAGATTGGTGTTGGTTCAGGGTGTCAAACAGAAAACAGTATTTTATTTAAAAAAAAAAAAAAAAAAGGAACAGCGTAAGTCTAACCAACAGTTACAATGGTATTTTAACACTTCTGAAATTTAGGAATGTTACTGTTAAGTCTGGAGGCACAGCAGTCACCCTCAAGATCAGCAAAGATGGAAGAGAATATTCTGTTGACCTCACACTTGGCATCAAGGACAACACCTGGCCAGAAGATGCAGAAGAATGGAAAACAAGGCAGAGAAAAGGTGATATACCAACGAATACATGTGAAGTTACAGAGTGGAATTTTATAATAGAGTTTATTTTGATGAAATAAAACCAGCCTGAAATCTCCCAGTTTTCCATTATATGGTAGTGTAACCTTATATCCTAAAACTAAAGCTGCAATCTAGAATTGCTAAGTTTGGTCTAAGCTCTGAATGCTCAGTGCTGTTACAAAATGGTTAAAATGTGTGCAGTGATCTCTCAATTGTATAAGGATGCATCTAACAAATGCTTCCATTTAAGTTTATATTACTTCCTAGTTATCCATATCTATTGATTTAACTCTAAATGTGTCAGAGAGAGATATTACAGCAAAAGAGATTTTTTCCAGAGAAGTTTCTTAAGTTGGTTGTTGTTTTAACTTGTGATAAGGTTGGCCAAAGAGGAATCTTGTGCATGACATTCATGAGATGGGCTGTCATCTGGTTACAAAGCAGCCAAAGGGGCACAGTCCTATAGAACAGGAGAGAGGGTTTCTGTGGTGTTACTCCTTCTCAGAAGCTGAAAAGAAGCTGTTTCTTCAGGGAGAGCAAGGAGAAGTTAACTCTTGCCGGAGGCAAGTTCTCAGAATATTAAAAGCTCTGAGGGAAGAACTTGAACTGCAGCCATTGAAGTCATACCACCTAAAAACACTCTTGCTCTATGAGTGCGAGTCCCAACCTTCTGCCAGGCAGTGGAGCAAAGATGCCTTGAGTGAGCGATTCTTAGACCTCCTTAAGAGGTTGGAAAAGTGTTTGCGCTCAAAGGAATGTCCCCATTATTTCATCAAAGATTTGAATTTGTTTGAAATGCTTAACCCCGAGAAATGCGATGAATTAGCTGATAGAGTGAATAAAATTCTAAAGCAGCCAGGGCAAGTATTAATCAGACTTATTAAGTAATACCAGATCGCATGAAAAGAAACTGGAAAAGCTACACTGTTTGATTGCTCATCTCAAAGTTTTCTTCGAGGTCAATCTACTTGGTATGACTTTTGCTCAGAACCATCACGTGTCATGTTCAGTAAGCAGTAGGAATGAATGAAGTTGCTTGTTGAGATCATATGTAGAAATAAGTGATTGCTTACTAACCCTAACTGTAACTCTACTCTCAAAGCTGAAAACTTTGAGCAGTTTATAATAACCTAATTATCAAATAGCACTAGCTAGTACCAATCTGACTACATACAAAGGTGTTAATGATTTTAACTTTTTCCTCTCTTTTAAAAAGTGTTGATAAAAGTACAGAAAATTTGCTGGAGAAATAGATATGGATGAACTAACTTTGATGTTGAAGGCACTTTTGGAATTATCATATTGGGGTAACTTGAAAACTAAAACATTTGCAAAAGTGGTAAAAATTAAATTTTTTTGGCAAAAAATTGATTTAACAAATAGAGGGAAGTGATTTGTAAATGTCTTGCTTAAACTTGCTAAAATGTTTTAAATTGGTTTTCATATGTTAGGAAAATCCCAGATGATGGGTGACTTTATTATCCCTTGACCCAGAATAAGTCTTTTTAGTGGAATGTCCTCCGGTGATTATAGAGATACATGTGCTCTCATTGGTCAAGGATTGCATCATATCTTGCTATACTCACCTAGCGTAAGGTGATTATGGTAGGGGCACTAGATTTCAAAATGGTTGCCTCATTTTTTGTTGATGCCACACAAGAAGTAATAAAATGATAGGAGAGTGAAGAGCCCAAAAGATGCTTCAGGTGTTCTACATCTAAGGTTATTTAACACTTTTCAAAGAAATAAATGAAATTTTGTTGGTTGAATTAAATAAACTTGTTAAATTTTAGTGGGAACTAGCTGCTTAACTCGACAAGAGTTATCAAAACAATTGTAACAGAATGGTTTCAATAACAAAACAAATTTACTACAGAATTGGAAAGCACCTGCGCAATTATACTATAACAATTATTTGCCTTAGGCTCACCTTTTTTTATGTGACTGGTGGGCAAAATTAATAGCCAAGCAAGTCATGTATTTGTAGTAAGCTAAGACAATTGCCGATATCCTTGACAGTAGAAATAGCAGTTTTCATAGATCTTCAATATTGGCTGATCATTGAAGAGATCTCTGATGCACTGGAAAAATTGAAATGCTCCTAATTTTCCCAATTTGTTTCTAAATACCCTTCACATCCGTGGATGTCGGGGGTGATTTTAAGTTTTCATTAAATGTAAAACTCTGGGAGGGTTGGGAAACAGCAAAATCCCTGACCACCTAGGATTTTCCCAGGGGATTGGGGTGTGCAGCTGGTCAGTCTAGCAACTTGATCAACAACTTAACACCTGACTCACTTTACTGCTGGAACCATGAAGGAAATCAGGCATCTATTCATGTTCAGTCTTTTTACCTTAAATTGCACCTCCAAATTAAAAACTATAGTAAATATTATACACTCTTAAGCTTGATAAACATGCTTTTCCTAACAAAACACCATCTGTTTGCGAGGTCCTTTCCAATCAAAGTAAAATCTGTTGGTATATTCCTTTGGGATGTGAACATGACGACTTATTCTTGGTTTAGGAAAAATTTCACTCCTGATCTGCTCCATTTCTACACCTTCTTCTTTACATTTGACAACCCACACCATAAGTTTCTTGAGATCAATAGCCAATTTAGAACATAGCGTTCTCTCAGGTGTATTAATGATGTAATTGTCAAGTCCACCAGCCTCGTCAATACATCTCAGAGCCTGTACACTGACCTTCAGTGACAAGTCTTGTTCCAACACTTGACTGTAAAATGTCTTTTCGAACACATTTGGCTTCCACACTCGTGGAGTTCTGTGTAAAATGGTAATAGTTGAGACATTTCAGTAAAGTTTATAAATCATTAAAGTGTTCACACAAGTCACCTCTTCACTTGATATTTATCCACAATTTGAACAAGTCAAGAGGAAATGAACACACTATTGGGAAAGAGTTCCATATAACCTCATAAATTAATTCTGCAATCCATTTCGTAAAGACTAAATATAAAGGTTTCTTAGCAACACTCTATGCATAATTAATGTATGGGGTTATATGGAACTCTTGCCTAATATTGAAATGATTGAATATTGTCACATTCGACCTGTTGAATCCTAAAGAGAATTGAACTTGTATTGTCCGCTACTAGACATCCTGACATGACGCTCTTTAAATGGTAAGTACTGAGTGATACGGTGGACACTTTTTATTCAAGGTTTTACTATTTTTAGCACCCTTGCTTCACTCCTGATCACATAAGGACTCGATCACGACAGGACGACATAGTATTGTGGAATTAAAAGTTTTGAGCTATTAAACATATAATCGAGCTTACTTTTTCCCAGACCAAGTTGTTCTGTAGCCAAACACATAAGTTTCTCCGTGGTAAAGACCTTTATGTGGTGCTTCGCGAGACTCTTTCAATAAGGCACGCCCTTTTGCTTTCTGAGCGACCGTCCTTCCAAACACCAAGAAGCCAAGGCCAAGCCGTACCATGATGGCTAGGAGAATTCTCAATGGCTGTTAATTTCAATCGAGGCCTTATCAGCTTGAGCCAAGGCGTTCACTGCGCATGTGTCAAGCTGTTTGACAACTGTGCATGACTCGTACACAACATGTCACTCCCTTGTAAATTAGTCCGCTGAGAACGTATCCCATGGTAGTTGTTTTGGCGCCAACATTCAGCAGCACGATCGACTCGATTAAAAATCCAAAAAAATTGAAAATTAACAATAGGTATACGTTATTTTACTCATTCTGAAGCGTGCTCAAGTACTGGTATGTCACTGGGGAGGCGATCTGACAGGTAACAACTGAATTCCATACACTTTCAGGAGCAAGGAAACTGTGGTATCCACAAAATAGAATTCCCTTTTTTTGTTTTCATTTTGGTGAAGATTTTTATCAGCGAAACTATTAAAAGGACTTGCCGATTCAGTTATCAATTTATTACAGAGTGGACAAGACGTTCACATCCTTCGTGTCACGAAAAAAAGTGAAATAGGTTGACAGTTTCTGACTGTCAGAATTATATATATTATATTATATTATATTAACTTGACATTTCAAACAACAGACATCTGCCAGAACGCTCATACGTGTTTCAATGACTAAGTCCAGTTACTGATAGTCTTTCACGGTATACATCTTACCTTGTTGTTCTTCCTCGAATGTCTCTCCCTAGAGTGCGTAAAAAAGTAGATTATGCCAAGTTTTGTCAAGAGGAAGATAACAGCAGCAACAATAGTGATGGTAAACTCATTTTGGATTCTTTAGTATGATTGATTGTTTTCTACCTTTGGAGTTTCCAGTCTGTATTGGCTTTGGTCACTGTTCAGTCAGTGTTGTATTTCAGGTGTAAATTGATTGTATTATAGGGTGTCATTCAGTGGCTTCATGTTAGTTCTCTAGTTGTACCTTGCTGTTTGCTTTGTGTTGATTGCTATCTACCTTTATTAACCCTTTGGCTCCCAGAAGTGATCAACAAGTAACTTCTCTCTATAATATCCATACATGATCCAGCAAACAGGTAATGAGAATCCACAAACTTATCAGGTAGAAGTTGTTACCTTAATTGAACACCAAATTCTCATAACCAATTTACAAGGAAATGTGTATCAGCTAGAGGAGAGAATTCAAAATCAGATCTTGGGAGTTAAAGGGTTAACTCAGTTGTTTAAGCCAAGCTATCTTGTGAAACCCCCATCTATACAGCTCCACAGTTTCTCTAGAAACGTGCCCCCTTCATACATGATGAATTGTTACTTCTGGGTTCAAACTTTTTCCTGTAAGACCAGGAAAAACATTGTGGGAATTCAGGGTGTAAAAACATAGCTTTTCATGTTTATGTTTTGTTTTCTCTTTTTCAAAGATGATTTCCAAGATGAAGCAGGACTGCCATCAGCAAAAAAAACAAAATCAAAAGTCAAGCCAAATGTTAAATCAAAACGAGAAGAGACAAAGGGTGAAGAATCAGGAAGTTTAAAAAGGAAAGAAAGGTATGTGCACATGGGATTGGAAAGAAACTTGAAAGTAGAGGGTTTATGAGAAAGCAATGACAAAATTTAATTATCCTCCATAAAGATCATTTAGACTTACTGAGTAATCTTCAATGACAAATTTGGTTTTACTATTCTGGTATTTCAGGAGGGAACATGACCTTCTAATGACAAAGAGTGTTGTTGTTACTGTTTTTTTTTTTTTTTTGACACTGTTAATTTATAAGAGGTGATTGTAGGGGTAAAGAATAATAAACAGAGGATGTTTTCCCCTTTTCTCCCTCCTCTTGAGTCAGGTTGTCAAGAGACGAAAAGCTTTACCAGAAAGAATTAGAGGCTGCACTTAAAGCTTCCATAGAAGACTCTCAGCAATCATCTGGTCATAGCACTGCGAATGATAACCAAGAAGAATTTTCAGATAATGAAATAGAAGTTGCCTCATCCAGATCAAAAAAGCCCAGGCTACTCCCTCCTTTGGAGATAGAAGACAACGACAAAGAGAACAATGGGTAAGTCATTTGAAGATGTTATCTCAAGGGTATGAACCTCCAGATAGGAACTCAATTATTTGGATTCAGATATCAGCCATCACTATACACCCAGTGACTGTTGCATTTTTCACCTCTTTGCATTCCTCGTCTGATTTACTCTGACTTTATTCCCTTCAGTGTTCTTGATCTTGAAAATTTTCAGTGCTTTTTTAATGACTTGGTGATCATGTTAAATTGCAAAATGAATTTTATGTCAGCAGGCATTTAAATATAATATTTTTTATGTAATATGTGGATTGCAGCAGTGGCTCACACACCAATACAAAGAAAAAAGTTCAAGATATTGAAGGAGAGGAAAGAAGCAATGATGACAGCAAAAAGCAACAAAGCAGAAAGACATCAGATGTCAAGAAAGAGGTTTTAAACCAAGAACAAGAAGATGATGGTCTTGGTAAGATTCTTTTGAAATTAATGTGTTCCCCAACCGGATTTTTTCACAGTGTTGTGTACTGTTTTGTTTAAAGTATCAGCCAACCTTGGAATATCTTGTTTTTCGACACTCGACTGCGTCCAAGGCATCGAAGTTAAAGAGTTCGTAGTTTTTGGGTGGAAACTCGGGATTTTTTTTACTGATTAATGTCACAGAGGAGGATAAAATCGTCTTCGTCAATAATTGCATCAACATAACATTCCAAAACTAAGTTTCTAGTCTCTTTTAACGACGTGACCGACGTGATTTTTTCTCAGTGTTGTGTACTGTTTTGTTTAAAGATAGTGATTTTGAACACAGTGAAGAGTTGAGCAATGAGGAAAGTGTTAGTGAGTGTGATGATAGTGATTTTGACGAGGAAACAGAACTGAAGAAAACAAAGAAAGGTAAAGGGCAAGGGAGGTCAGCAGCAAGTTCACCAGCCAAACCAAGTATCAAACCAAGAACAAGTGTGACAGGTTGGTAAAAATGATAACATTAAATTCTTCACTCTGATGAATTTTAAATCACTTAAGTATGAGTATGTAAACCCTCAGAAATGAATCTTTGTGTGGTAAAAGTTTTAGATTCTCTGCAAAGGATGAAGTCTTGTGTTTTGGGGGGACTGATGCTCAGGGAGGTTACCTTCAAGTTGTAACTGGGAGTATGGCAGGATGTTAGTTCAAGTTAACTTAACAAATAGGATTATTAATTGGCAGATAACTGCTATTAACCTCAGGCTCAGTTAACATTTTTGAGAAATTGTGAAGATGAAGTGGAGGGGGACTATTCAACAATTTTTACTGAGCCTGAGCAAATAATGATTTTGGGTGCCTTAAAGGGATCCTCCACTGTTATCGAAAATATCGCTAAAAATGCTCTTGAAGTGTCCAAAAGTAGATTTTTCAGACAGAAAAATGTTCTCTTCTCTTAGATTTTTTGTTTTGGCCTCTCAAAAGAGGCCTTCATGACCAGTTCGAACATCTCATGGTTGCCATTTTGATTGGTGCGCAAGGCTCTCTGGGGTGTTGACATAAAATGGTTGCTCAATTCCCTTGCCCTCGGTAAAATTGGTAGCAAAATGCCGCATTGCGTTGCTTCTGAGTGTAGTATTCAAGCTAAAAACAGGAAAAACGATCCCAAAATTCGTTTCCACAATTTTCCGAATGATGCAGTGATTCGATGAGCTTGGATTCATGCTGTTGGAAGGACATCCTTGCCCAAAGACTCACATCTGTGTTTCAAGCACTTTGAACAGCATTGCTTTGAAGAGTCTTACCCCTTTCCTGTGTTTAGCTTGAATACTACACTCAAAAGCAACGCAATGCGGCATTTTGCTACCAATTTACCGAGGGCAAGGGAATTGAGCAACAATTTTACGTCATCAACCCAGAGAGCCTTGCGCACTGATCAAAATAGCAACCATGGGACGTTCGAACTGGTCATGAAGGCCTCTTTTGAGAGGCCAAAACAAAAAATCTAAGGGGAGTGAACATTTTTCTGTCTGAAAAATCTACTTTTGGACACTTAAAGAGCATTTTAAGCGATATTTTGGAAAACAGTGGAGGATCCCTTTAAAATTCTGTGGTAAATTTGTTTTGTAAAATTTTAAGCGATATTTTCTAAAACAGTGGAGGATCCCTTCAAAATTCTATAATTGTAAATTTGTTTTGTAAAATCGTAAAGTCTGTTACAATTGTTTGGGTTACTTGTATTGTGATAAGCCACCGGTTTCCACTTAAATTTGACAGGTTCGTTTAATTCCATCGGCCAAAACTTTTGTATCTTTCTCATAAACAGTGTTATGCCAAACTTATTAGCATCCTTTGTACCCTTTAGAATTATATTTTCTTCTGTCACGTTTGTCACTTTCTGTGTAACAATGACAAAATGCAAGGCAGCCCTTTTGAAATTTAGTGCCCCAGCTATAATCACATGTATTATGGCAAGATATGATGCATTCCTCCACCAATCAGAGTGTGCAGTATTTAAATATATCAACAAAGTTGAAATGGTAAATTTGCCACCATTACGATTATAAAAGCTGACATTTCGAAACAATCAGCCTTTATTCATGTGCAGTATTTATACATGTAGATAGAAAGGGGCATTTTAACAGGTATTGTGGCTAAAAATGTTTTGTTTTTTCTTACTTTAAAATAATTCTTCAACAGTACAATTATTCCACCCTTTCCCATTCCTTTTCTTGAGTGTGATTTGGTATCAAAGAAATTTGCAAGTGTAGCTCAAGAAGTAGTGATAAATTTATTTACATGTCAGTTACACCCATCAAGATGCTAAGGGGCAAAGGTAAAGGAAAGATGTCATCTGCAAACAGCAGCCACTCAGTGTCAAGTTCTGCATCAAACTCACCATCAAGTATGTCAAGCAATTACTATTGTCTCAGTATACCTTTTTTAGGGCGAGCCTAACATGAGCTTGTACATTGTACCCAAGAGGAAAGGGCTAAGAAATTATGGAGAAATTATTTTTGATCAAGAAGAGTAGGAAAAACATAAAATACCAAAAGAAAGTGGTGGGGGGGGGGAGGGTCATGGGATTAAAACTGCTGAGAATAGTTAATAAAGGATTAATAATCAAACTAATACTTATATAATACAGTGTACATGAAGCTGTTTGAGAAACAAGAAAATACTCAAGCTCTTATATTTATAGAATTGGTGCATCATAAAAAGACTTCAGACAGATGATAAGTTGTGTGAATCTGTTATGTAAACCATGAAATTAACAATGCATGAAGTAAAGTACATAGGCATGGCTGTTGGTATCAAATAAAAATGTTAAAACTTGAATAAACTCTAAACTGAACAAGCTGTGTAAACAATTGTTACAGGGCCGGCTCGCCACTTCATTCTAAAAATAAAGTGAATTAAACAATAAAGCCAATTTCTCTCTCTTTTGTCTCCTGTGTTTTCACAGGTTTCTTCTGAAGATAAAAGGAGTTTTTCATTATTCCTTTGAAAAGGTAATACAAATTGCTTCAAACTGCATTCATGTTTCTTCAAAGATGTAAATATACGAAGTGATATTAGCTTTAACATAATCACCCTCAGTACAACTAAAACTAATTTAACCTTTAAATCATAATATAGTTGTATAGGAAGTAAGAAAGGAAGTAAGTATCCCAGGTTACCAAAAGAAGTCAAAATAACATGAAAACTTTATTGTAATTTGTTTAGTTGTGACCACTACAAAACATCAACCTTTAAAGCAAGTGAAGGTGCACTCTACCTTACTCAACAAAAACAGTCCAGGAATGCAAACTGTAAATCTTGGTGGAGTGAAAATCAACCACACTGGCCCCCCAATACGTCTTGGACTTTCAAGAAATGTGCGAGTCAAACCACTTCATTCACACCTGTCTGTTCAACAGTGAGCTGAACATGGCCTCAACATGTGCACTTGTCATTTCAGAGGAATGGTAAAACCTTGCAGCAAAAGGGAACAATGAGAGCAAAATTGCAAATTGACCTGTCCTGGAATTTTCCTCAATATCATTACATTGTGAGGTCCTTCAGATCACTTGTAAGGATGCAGAATTCCACTGTAAAGAGGACTTGCGAAGAAATGCAAGGTACTATAATAAGTGGCTCTGGGAAAATTGATATAGTTAAAGTTAAAGTGCAAGAAATACAGTACCCTTTTACAAATATCTATTAGGTTTATTTTAATAAAACTTTTTTAAAAGATGCAAGACATATAAGGCCAAATTTCAGTTCTAAAAGGAGTTGTAGCAAAGCAGCTAGGTTCCATGTACTAGTCTTCCAGAAAATTATTATGTGTATGTGGTTACATTTAATTTATTGCTATTACAACACTTTCTAATACCTGTACAGTTCCTAGCTTTGAGAAAGTTCACCGAAGATCAGTAAACTGTATTTTACTCTTAGATCAAATTAAAGTATTAACATGTGAGATAAGTGAAAACTTTTTGACTTGTATAGAAAAGCTGGATGTTGGCACATCCCATGGCCTTTTCTTGCACCTGAATCATTCACTTCTCAGTCATTTTACCATTTAATTTTGTCAGCAACAAAATTCTAGAAAGTTTGGCATGAAATATCGAATGACAGGACTAGCATTTCATTTCATACACCAGCATAAAGCTCAACCAATTAATTTCATATTTCCAGGATGGAGTTAGTAAACCTTCTTACTTAAAAAATTCCTTGATTTCTGTGGAGTACTTGAATTGTGTCAGCTCTTACCATTTATTACTAATTTTCATTACCTCTTTAATTCAACTCTTTGATTTGATCTTTCCAAATACACTTGGTGGTTGAAATAAGGCAGCTAAAATTGGACTGTTCAAGGTGCTACACTTGTTGCAAATTAATGGGCTATTAAGAACCAATAAGATTCCAGCAACTTGTGTACTGACACAAGTAAATACTTATTTTACTCAGTCCTAGAATGAAGTGCAGTAAAGAGTTCGATGTCCAACTTTGCGGATAAGTCGCTCTGACAAATCATCTGTGATTTCCTGATCTTTTGATATTGTAACTCTTGCTAAGTCACTAGTCATCTTTTCCATGTCCACATCTTGCGGTATTCCATCAGTAGGTATAACTGCTTGCTTCAATCTTTTAACACCTTCAGTGAAAGTGAAACAGGCACTCTCCAAGTCCTCATCATAAGACAACTTCAGCGCCAACTCAGATTCACGCAGAACAGTCACATTGTTTTGCAGTACAATGCTTTTTGCGAGGCAGGATCTTTGATTTAGTTCTTCTTTAAGCATTTTGGTAAGCTCCTCCACATTAATATCCCCATATTTCTCAATCACATCTGGTAGGACAATATCATGTGCAGTGCCAATGAGGCACTCCAAGGAGAGATCTTCTTTAATAGCACACATCATTATCTGTGTATGGAGAAGTATTGTTAAGTCTTAACAAGTAGGATAATAGAATTAGGACATAACTCATACTTACCACCTGTTTCATAAATGTCTTTCCAAATTTTTAAAACCCTAAATTATTTGAAAAATACAGGTGGCTCTAAAGCTATGAAACATATCTAACAAAACTGTAATTTTTTTACACTGTACACTGAAATTTCCAAATGATTTTAGCACAACAGTCCTCAAACCCACTTTCAGCAACACCCTTTGTGGGGTGAAGAATAATGGCTTATCTGAAGAGTTTTTCAGGGTTGCCATGGTAGCCAATATACTGAGTTAAAATCAGGACTGTGAGGTTGAATGATACCCTTGAAAATTAGGGTCAGACTGAACCAACAAGCTATTAAAATAAATTCCAAAGATGGCAAAGTTTGAGTGGTTGTGTCCAGTGTTGTTCTTTATTAAGTGAAATCCAAAAAGCTGGCATGTGAAGTGACAAATGGAATTAGATGCAGAATGTACACAGATAAATAACTAATAAAAGTCTTATCAAATGTAGAAAATTACCCCAGGCAGGTGCTTAATGTTCTGTGTTTGGATATAACGACCACCAGTCTTGAGTGATATCCCTGCAAAGAATTCTGGCAATGGGTTTCTTCCAAAAGAGGATGCAGTTGTCGGTTGCAAGATTCCAACTGTGTAAAGGGTGACAGAATTTTCTGCCAACTGTCTGCAAAGTTTCATCACATCATGGCCATTTGAACACTTATATGTTTCAAGGGAAGTTCTCTCATTCACTGAAGCTGAAAAAAAAAACTGTGTTTTGGTGAAGTCATAAGTCTCAAATCCCTACAAATTATATTAATTCTAAGAGTAAGAACCTCTCCTTATCCCTGTTTCCTAAGGCATGAAGTGTTTAGGAGTATTGCAACCTCCACCCCACCCCCAGCCATCCAAGACAGGATGTTGGTCCACTGCAGACACCTCACACAGCACTTATTTGCTAACAGTCTGCTGGTGTACACTTATACTCTTGGCTGGAACAAATAACTTAACATAAAGTTTGGAAGAACCCTTAACAGGTTCTATTGTGAGAGCCATCATAGCCAGCAATTAAACCAAGTGACCCAAACTGGTGGAGCTTACCCTGGTTTGTTTGGTTTGTTCATAATATCAGTGTGGATGGGATGCTACTCTACTGCAGGTTACCCAGCTTTTCATCAGATTTCCCAGACAGTTCACAGGTACCCATTTCTATTCCTGGGTGGACAGAGCCACTGTGAGAGTAGAGTTTGCCTATGAACACAACACAGGAACCAACCCAGGTTTTGAAATTCCACTTCACAACCCAGACACCAGCATATTAACTGTTAAGTTCACCACATCTCTCCATCATACAGTTGTACTTACGCAGTAATATGCAAATTTTATTGGCATCTTTTCGACATGATCTAGAATCTTTTTTGGTTGCTAAATCTCGAACCAGTGCAAGACCATCAGCCAACCCATTTGCTGAAGGTGCTGTTCTAGATTCATTCAGGAAATGTATCTGAGACTTCATGACATCTTTTTCTTTAGCAAACCACCAAGTGTTAGCATTGGGAAAACAAAGACTGTGATCCGGATAACAAACCAGGGCTAGTCGGAAGTTGTAATCTCTTGCACAAATCATTTCAACCAAGTGAGCCAGTTGAGTTTTTAGCCTTGTATGAAACATCTGATCCTTAATACGTTCAACAACAACAATCAAATCCAGGTTGTGTTTATCAACAAAGCCTTTGCACTTTAAATCTAATATAGGGACAAAATAAATAAAAAAAACTCAAATTCAAACAATAAAGAGCTCCAAATACTCAAATTCTGCCCCCCRCCCAGCATTTATACCCCAATCAGGCTTCTCTGTAATACCATTCAGATATTACTATTGATTTCTTTCCTTGATAAATCAGTAAAATTCAGAGAATGGCCACAAGCAGCAAGGAACAGATAAATGACTATTCTCATCAAATACCCTACAAAATGGATACCTTTATCAGCTTCTTCAAGTGCAGTTACGTCAAACCCTAATATTTATTCCTTATCAGTTCCTGAAATTCTCAGGCTAACAGTAAGTGTTTTGCATTGTTTTTGGCCAAATTAAGGCCACAGTCCAGAGTCATAGGTGACATGTTGATACTGGTCAACAGAAATATCATTGAGGTTGATTCATAACTTCACTGAGATAAACATTTCTAAGAATGGGTATGATATAGAATTGTAACTCCAGTGAGCATATAAGATGTCATACTATAAATACCTGCATCACTTCCTGCCTGGAAAGGCTGTGAAAGCCTGGCTTGGGTATCCTGGGGTGGATAGGCGAGTGGCTGAGCGAGACAAATGTAACTTGCATCCCCACCAACCTTAACTGCTTGAATTCCACATTGACAAAGCCAGTCCTCTTTTTGAAGGGCATCATTACGTAATGAATTTAACAGCTCTTCTTTCTTTGGGATTTGAAAGACAAAGCTGGCTAAGTTCTTTGCTTCCTTCTCTGTTTTAACAAAGCTTATTTCAGAACTTTTCATTTTAAGAGCTGCACAAATTCCAAATTTCAATTGTTGAAGGGTGGCATTTTGGTCAATATTATTACCAGATAACATGAAGCAAACCATTGCCTTTCCCATGGCTGAAAGGAAAGAAAAGAAACAATTACAATAGCCTGACAGAAGCAATAGTAATGATGTTCCCCTTTATTTTAGACGTTGGTTTTTTTTGGCTGATGAACACACTAAATGTTTGGGAACCATTCAACCAACCAAACTGAAGTGTTTTTGAGGGGACATTCCAAATTTACCTAATTTGTAAATCACATTCCCAAACATAGTAACCAGGCCAGCCTCGCTTATCTCCTATCAACATATGATAATAACATAATTTTCCAAATATAAAACTCAGAAACCATGTCAGGTGTTCTTGACAGGGCTCAACTGAAGAAGCCCTATAATTCAGCAGCTCACCCATCAAAGAGTGAGTTCAAGTCAGTTGTTTTCAACAAACCCCAAGTCAAGGTTGTAGTCATTTCTCCATTTACCACAATCTGTATTGGATGGAAAAACTGTCTGAAGGATAAATATGCAAATTTTTCTCCAGGTATCTGCTTAAGACAAGTTTCCTTGTGCTTGCAGAATCTTTCCCTGACAATAATCCTGCTGATGACATCTGCATCCACCCATCGACTCTCCAGACTTCGCTTATTTAGACAACTTGTTGCCCGGTTTCCCGTTGGGCTAAACTTCAGAATACCCGGCACTTAATATGCGTCTTTTAATAGCTGCTCCCGCAGTCCCGTACTCGCCACAATCAAATAAACATTCTTCGTTCTTCAGTAAACCGAAATTCAAATTGCAATTAAAAGTCATATCTTAATTCCTCGTTCTTCAAGCGTATTTCAAATTGGATATTACTGCGGATTTCTACTTCGCTGGCGAGTGAACTGACAAATTCAAATATATAATCGTCGATCTTAAATCGAACCGACATCAGGGGACTGATCTCTTAATTATTTTTCGACATCGTGAGCGCGGGACTGCGGGAGCACTACTTTAACTGCCCTCTTCTTTAAATATTCTTCGACTTTGGGAGCACGGGACAGTAGGAGCACTAGCTTAACTGCCTTCTCCCTTAATTGTTCTTCGACTTCGGGAACACGGGACTGCGGGAGCACTACTTTAACCGCCCTCTCTTTTAATTATTTTCCATTTCGGGAGCAATCAATTTGTTAACGTTCAAAACTGGCCGGGTATTCTAAAGGTGTTCCGCCCTTTGTTTGCTAAATTAGTTGAATTTCAATACAAGTAATTGGTCATAAAGGAAAAATTAATAATTAAGATCCTCAAAGTAAATAGCTAAGGGTTAGAGGAAGGAGTATGAAATTTACCTGGTAATTCACGAGTCACCTGTGCTGTGGGTGCACTGACCAGTTCTTGGGATGAGGAAGACTTCCTTATAAAAACTCTCACACGTTCTGCAAGATCAGATCTGGTAATGTGATTGAAAAGTTGTTCAAGGAGATCCAAGTCGTTCTCTGCTATAAGACACTTCTTTATCATGTGGGAAAACAAGTCTGTAGGCTTTTGACAATTTTCCAAAATTCCCTCCGGAATTTCATTTACCAAAAGAAATTTCATAGACCTCAAGTCTTCTTCTAAGATTTCAGAGGATACGCGAAGCAGAAAAGTACGGAAAGGGTTCAAAACACGCTTTCCTGAGACAACTACTCTTGACGCTATTCCATGGGCAGCCATGAATCGAACGATGGTCACCAAGGTGAATTTAAAAACGAAGACGGAAGTGATGTTCCTAGTTTCCAAGCTCCATCTTCAATCACCTTCCCATGTTCGAGATTTGACCTTAAAACTGTGCTTTTCAAAATAAAACCTGGGGATAACCTCAGCTTAAGAGGTAACATTTCCAACTGTTACCAATTTCATATTTCTATGAAGAAGAAACTCCATCGTGATCAATAAAGATCTGCAGCACATTTGCACAATATCCCAACACGGCATACGGAGGAGTACGGGGACTGCAAATGGAAGAGGTGAACTGAGATCTAGTTTCTCCCGAGATGGGGGCAGGTTGGGGGTTCCAGGGGCGAGGACAACTCGAAAATCCAAAGGAAGTAATGAGAATCATTTCGAATAATATAAGTTTATTGAGGACCTATTGAAAGAACAATTTTATTACAAGATCATGATTTAAGTGCAAGTTCACTCAGAGATAGCATAACATTATTCAATTCATAATTGCCTTGTTTACAGGAGTTATATTTGCACATAAGCACACAATATTTGTAAAATCTGAGAAAACTGTTATAAGCAAAGGGAAAGGACAAATAACTGGCATTTTAAAACAGAAGACAATTAAATTTGGTGAGACAAAAAAGACCTAGGTTCTAGATTATTTTATCTCTAAACAATATCACTTTGATTTGATCCAGTAATTATTTTTTCTGCAGTAACACTTGTTCTTCTATAGAAGGTAAAATCTAACATTAATGTTTGTGACCTCTTAACTGATCTGCTGTATGTATTATGTACCTATGTGTCATTTATGTCTATGAACAACAGATGAAAGCTGCTAACATTTCCCATCCATTACAAAACTTAATGGTACATATACCTGAACTTAAAGAATTTGAGACTTTTCAAACCTCAGAGTTAGCTATATAAAGTCATTCAATCGGTATTTCCTTTACTTCAATTCACAACAAAATGGTCACCATGAATGGGCTCTCTCTAGGTTACCACAAATTGATTTTTGGTGATAATTGAAGTTAAGTACTAGATAAGAGAGCTACCTAAGTAAACCACTGCCCAAGAAAAGAAAAAAACTTTAAGGTTGGTTCCTAACTGAAATGAGCTCTGTCATTGCTTAGAAAATTACAAGTATGGTGACAACTTTTGCACATGCAATGAATCTGTTTCAAAAATTCTTCAATCCTTCTTCACAAAAATGTCAATAACTTACACTGCAGAACTTGTCCCAGACATAAATGGTTCAATGGTTATCTCACCAGTTTCTTCATCATGTTCCACTGGTATTTTCTGCCTGCCAAGTGCCTTTATAAGTAACCTTTCAGACAAGTTTTTAGTAACTTCTGCTGGCTCAGTTATGGTTACTTCCACTGTGACATTGTTGTACATGTAAAATGATCTGTAATCCATTGGAGTGTCTTTCTTCAGGAACTGTTGAACTTGTGACAATTTTTTTAAGCCAGCAATACTCTTTGCTGTTGGTGTGGGTGGCTGGAGTTCTGCAGAATTGCACTGAAGTTGGCGGGATTTAACACTTCTCAGGTTCAAATGCTCTTGAAGTTTGTCAGCCAAGTCGTCTACCGTAACCTTCTGTTTATTTGCTTTCATTTCTTCAAGCACCATATTTAAGAAGTCTTCAACATATCCCATAATGTTTTCATGGGCAACCTCCTCAAGTGAGGCATTTATTATTACCTGCAAAACATAGAAAAAAAAATAAGAAAGATGATTATCACTTTTCATTTTGAGCATGATTTAAGGAAAGATGTTATCCCTCTTGTCATGAAAATGACAGAGAGAAAACATTAGAGTCCCCCACAAACAATCCAACCCCAGATCTTTGGATTCTATACTTTGATGCTCTGACACATTCTCAGAAAGAACTCTATGGTGAGCTGTGACAAGTCCACTCTCCAGTTCATTGTCATATTACTAGGATTTGTTTTCTTCCTTAACAACACAAAAAGGGGAAAAGGGAGAGCTAAAATACAGGGACTCATAAAATACAAAAAAAGTGACATTTCTTAAAAAAAATTGTTTGTAACTTGAGTTCAAGTTAGTGTCTCACACAGAATATGATGAACATAATTGACTTGGAAATTTTATTCAGCAAATTTTAGGATAAATTTTGCACAATTTTTTTAGTAACCTAACTTTGAAGATACACAAAGTTAAATTCTCACCTTTGATAATCCTTGAGCTTTGGAAAGAGGAACATACTGGCCTCCAGTTATGTATGCCAAACCCATAAAAAAATCTTTGTACCGTAAGATGTTAGGTTCACATCCAACACAGTACAATACAATTCCCTTCTCCACCATAGCTCTACAAGACTTAAAAGGATCATTACCAGTTGGACAGCCATCTGGGAAGCCATCATGCTCTAATCCGAGTCCGTGAGGAGGAGCATCAGCTAAAATAACAAAGAAACCTCCGGTAAATCTACCATTCCCAATGAATACATGAAAATCATATATCTGAACTGCAGTTATAGAAACGTATTTGTGCACAATACTCGCAGTAAATAGCACTATTGAAGCAATAGTGAAAATCAGACCTGAAAAAATTCAGGCCTGTACAGGAATCGAACCACTGACCTCTGTGATACTAGTGCAGCACTCTACCAATTGAGCTAACAAGCCAACGGGGAGCAAGTCATCAAATCAATTCAACATAAACCCGTAAGATGATAAAATCAAACACAACAAATATATGAAAATCATATATCTGAACTGCAGTTATAGAAACGTATTTGTGCACAATCCTCGCAGTAAATAGCACTATTTAAGCAATAGTGAAAATCAGACCTGGAAAAATTCAGGCCTGTGCGGGATTCAAACCACTGACCTCTGCAATACTAGTGCAGCCCTCTACCAATCATCAAATTCATCTAATCTATCATTCATAACCACATTATCACATCTTTGATAAAATTATAATCTAAAGTGCTAGTGTCCAATCTTGGTAACTGCTCTGACCAAGTACTTTCAGGTCAGAGTTGTGGATTTTATTACAAAACTGTAAAGATAATTATGTAAGAGGTACTTTCGTCAATAAGCATGTAAATGTGAATCTCAAGACTGCTGCACTGAATGACATTGTAATCATCACAAAAAGTGAAGTTCAGCTGAGAAGCTTAAAATGGAGACTGGGAATTACTCTGAAAATCAGGATTTTAATGCTTAATACAGCAGTGTTATAATTTCAAAGGAAGTGGTTCTAGGATGACTATATATGTGTGGTATGTTGATAGGTAAAAATATTCCATTATTAAGCACATCATTGCTCAAAATTGGTGCTAAGTATAAACCTGAAAACTAATTAAATGAAGTACCTTAATTGGAAAATAACTATAGAGACCTACTAAATGCTTGCGTGTACAGTGATACGTTAATAATAAAGTGGACTTGATTTACAAGAATACAAATGTCAAGGGTAGTGTTTACAATATTCAAACTTTTTTCCTTAATAAAACTAAGACCTCTCCGCAAGGAATCAACTAAATTAGGTTTTCAAAACAGATTCTGACAGGAAATACTACGAAATAGAAAATGCCACGTGAAAAAACGTACACCAGCAATTAAGGCTTTCCAACACCATCGATATGTCTGCGGAATTTTTTCACATTGAGTTCGTTCTTACACGATCATTTGCGACATTTTTATCAAAACTGATTAAGGGTGCAGAGATCATCCAAAAACGCTCATAACATATTTACTCTATCTGTTCTTCCGCACTATTCGTAAAGCTTCAACTTACCAATGAGAACACAAATCTTGGTAGCATCTTTTCTGTAACTGAGTTTAGAAGCTGCGTCTAGAGCACACGCCACAGACTCAGGCCCGTCTCCACCGCCTCTAGCGCTCATACCATCCACCCATTTTTTCATTTCTTCTACTGAATGTGTAAAATCGTGAACTTTCGTTATAAACGAGTTATCCTGGGGAGGGTGATCTCTATACTCTACCAGCCCAAGTTTCACGTTGAATGCAGTTCGCGAAACAGTTTCAGCAATACTTCGAACGTGTTTTTGCGCTTGCTTGATATGAAGACCCATGGATCCTGTGCAGTCGACAATGAAGGCGAGGTCAACTTTGTTTCTGTCATGACGAGCAGCCCAATGATCATCCACCATCTTCGTGAATTACAAAAGTTTGGATCTCTGAACGTCGTCAAACAAGGAAACAAAGACCAGCGAAGCAGAATTAACTGTCCCGCAATGCATTGCAAAATTAGGAGTTTGGTTGCGTGACAAATTGCTCGCGTGACGGCCCTTAAGCGTGGCTCCCCGTATCATGGTTCTCCTTCACCGGTTTTGTTCGTTTCTCTTCGTTTCTTATTCAGTACTATTTGTCGCTTTTTGTCACTGAATTAAAATAATCGTCTGAAGGATTGACTCTCTGTCTCGTAACTGATTTAATCATTTCTGTTCCTCTGTTTTCTCTATACATTCAGTTCACGAGTTTTGCAAAATCCAGGACGTGCAAAGTTTACACGATTTGGTGGTACATATGTTGATCGGCTCTTACATTTATCATGGGAGGGTACATTTATCTTACATTTGTCAGTTTCATCATTTCTTCGCCGTCGCGCCTAGTTTTGCTTTTTAAACAGCTTCGACAAACTTTCAATTACCACGAAAAGTTCAACTTCTGATTCCTAGTGGGTGGAAAGAAGAGAATACCCGCTGAAGAAATTGCAAAAACTTCGAGTGCTCCAATAAAGTAGAGCTTCATTCCTCACCATGATACTTTGATACAGCCTTTTATCACTTAATTGACTTGGAAAGTTTTCACTCCAGGACAGATTTTCAAATATCAAAATTCATGTTTGTTTTATTCTGTTTTAACTGTCTAACGAGCTTAGCAAAGGTTTGCAAGAAGACACCAATTGCAAGTTTAATCGAGGTAAGAACATTTCCATTTAAACCAGAAATAACTAAGGCAAGACACCCGGTTACCCACGCAAATTTGTACACTGTTTTAAACTGATATAGATTTGTATTACTTTGCATGATTCAAAGAATCATTCTTCTAGTTCTGACGTGCTGCTACATGTTAACTCCGCAAACTAACACTGCAAGCATTCATTATTCAGTTTAGTAACTGAACTACCTGCTGTGAGTACATTAAAGGTGCTTGCGAGGCACGAATGAGAAGCATTGTTTAATAAACCCTCAACAAAAGTTACTGCTTGACAACTTAAGATAAAGGCCTGTCTTAAAATATCGACCAGTGGTATCACTCATGAAAAAAAAATACTAAAAACATCACTATTGAAGCGAATCTGCTCATAGAACTGGAACCATTGGAAGCGTCCTTGAGCTGACGGATAGTGAAACGATTTTTTCGCAGTATCGTAGCAACATGGCAGACCTAGATTCCAATTACATAGAGGGGCTTTCGGATTACCGTTGGAAAGAAGCAAAGATACCGATTTACGTAGACCGAGATATAGATGTTAAGGTCTTTTAAAACAGTTCTTAAAGCAGTTGTTTGACCTTGTTGCTTGTGATGCGTTTGTTTGAGCTTGAAATGAACTATATCTAATGAGTGAAATTGAACTCATCTTACGTAACATCATAATTTTCTGATTGAAGGATTGGAAAGCAATATCTGCTGAACCTGGGACTAACAAACCACGGGCCTGGAAAATCACAGATTCTGATGTAAGTAGTTTACTTTTTTAACTTTTTGAAGGCTATCATAAAACATCGCAATTTGTAGTTGGTTTGCTATTCAATGGGTCACTTTGTCAAGTTATTGAGGAGAGTCTAGTATGTACAACAACATGGATTCTACCCTTCAGAGCGGGATTTACCTACTTTTAAAGCTCTGTAGTTTTAATCTAAATATCGTGCAGCACCTGCTGGCTTTCACTGAAGGTCTATTCCTTTTCTATATCTCTTTCATTTCTTTCAGCTTTCTCGTAAGACTGTGCAGGCTAATTCATTTCGTGAAAAATATTTTAGGATCTCGATTTTGCAATACGGAGATCAACCACAACAAAAAAAAAAACGTATAGAACTGATATGTTAATTATTCATAAAGAGTTTTGTAAGATATCGCGCACCGAAACTCTAACTTGTTGTCTAGCGATTTAGAAGTCATGCTAAAGAATATTTTTGTTTTAAAACAACTGATCTACTGCCATTATGTAAATACTTGCATTTTTCCAAATAAGGGAAAAATTTCAACGCTTGTTAAATAATAATAATATAAACAACTTTGTAATCTGCAGGGGTGAATACAAACCGTGAGAAATCATATACTTCACTTGTTACAGAATTTTTGACTCACGAAAGAACTTCAGAACTTTTCCATGAATGAGATTCAAAATCACCCACTTTCAATGCAAGTTAAAATTCACATTAAAAGCTAGGGTCGCGCCCAAGTGTAATTAAAGTAAAAAAAACTAAAACACTCTGTGTCGTGAATCCCTTGGGATTCCTGTGTGTTCTGCTTTGTGGGCGTAGTCGCGTTTTGATTACAGTAGTCTTTCCCTCTTATCGCAGATCGTAGAATGGACTTTAGCCGCTAAAGGAAAGTTCTTCAGCCAAGAAGTATACATAGTGTTGAATCGTACCTCTCTCAAAACATCGGTGAGAATAAAGAAGAGTTTACAACACCATATACGACACAAAGATAAGAAGCAGTTTTGTTGTTATTAGCGACCTGACATTAAACTCACTGTATCTAGAAAACAACATTTGACGATGATATAAAAGAATTTTAAATTTTCTTCTTCCTCTGTCTCTTTTACGTATTTCAGCAATACAACAAAGACCTTTTGAAAGTCGGAAACGGAAAAGGTTTACAACGTGAAGACATAACACCTCACCCAAATGGGAACATTAAGCGAAATGATTTTGAAAATCGAAGCCAAGTTCAAATTCCGGCTTGCTCTTTAGAGAGCTAAATCTTGATAGATTTTAAAAAAATACATCCCGTTCAACTTTCTCTATTGCCACTAAACTGTAAATGTATCTAAAAACATCTCGACAGTCTCGTTTGAAGGATTCAGTGCTTTTAGTAAGGAAAAATGACTTTTCCTTTGCATTCTGTTTTTTTGGTTTTGCAGACCAGCTGTGATATCCACTGCTGGATTGGAAAGCAAGCCTCTTCTGAGCTGTACAAAAAGGCTTTGTATAATGCTACTGCGTTCGGCGAGGCTGTAAGAAGCCTTCATTTTAAAGTCTTATGATTGTGACTGCTTGTGGTCTGCTCGCCTTGTTCTTAATCCCAGAGTTTTCGCCTAATGACTGTTGGTGATCCTCAAGTAACTTTTCCAGTCAGAAAAGAAATGTTTTTTCACATCTAACTGTGTTCATTTGTACACGTACGAAAAAGGATTGTACTGGCATAAAAAAGACGCTCAAAGTACTTTTCGAAACTTCTTTGCCGCAACTATGTATCGAAACTGAAATTATAAACAGCAGATCTGAAAATATGGCCAGTGTCTTAGCTGCATTCAGGCATAATTATTTTAGCGAGACAAGTTTCATTAAAAATTAATAAGAAAACTCTGTATTTAACTTCTCAGTCACACTTTATTTTGCAATGACGTCATTATTAACCTTCCGAAGATCAAATTCATGATCACCTTTATCATGATTATGGTAACTTTTTTCTGTGAATTTTTGTTGTTCATTGTTTTATCCATAGATGGAAGGCAGAGCACTTGTTCACCGAGAAGTCCAGGACTTTGAATCAAAGCGGTTTATTAATTATTTTCAATATTTTACGGTGTTGAAAGGAGAGTAAGTGGTGTTCTTCCTTCACACAACACTCACTCGCTTATCGATAACTTTTCGTTATCGATGTCATTCAACCCCTTTAAGCGCTTTTTCGCCGTGTGTAGGAACGAAAAAAAAGTCCAAGAAATTACCACAACATGTAAGAACATCGTAAAAACCACATGTAGCTCATGGGGTCGCCGCTGTACCAGATATTCATGGGCGCGATAGTAACGCAGAGTGGAAAAGACATAAAGACTACTAGTCTTGGGTACAAAACGATCGCTCCCAGGACAGAAAACCTCGAGTATATATCGACTGATAAAATGCAGTGTAAGATTTCATGGTAACCCCAGTGCACCTTCCTTAGAACATGACATCCCTTCATATATTGTGATGACAGAGATGAGGCAAACCTTTTCCGTTCCTCCACTTGTGATATTTACCATAGGCCCAAATGTACAGGCAACCCTTTCAAGTAACTCATCATAATACAATCCTTCATAGGTTGTACTAACCGGGAAATGGCTGTATTTTAAAAGACCACTCATCACTTTTTCAAAGGGATTAAATTAATATTTTGGTTTCTAGATCTGACCAAATGGCCAACTGTGACCTCCGCTCTGAATACAAGACACGGCTTCTTCGTTTGACTGGACCAAATGCTGCGGTAAAGTTCAACAAAGAGTTCAAATTCTATCATCAGGAAGCTTCAGCTCAGACTTTCTTGTGACTCAAACGGAAGAAGAATGCAACTAATTTTGATGCACTTTGACATCGGACAGTAAGCTGGAAAGACCTCACAAAAAAACTATTCTATAAAAAACTGAATTCTGAAGCAAGCGTTAGCGAAAAGCTTTAAACTTTCGACAGTTGTTTGCTTCTGAAAAATAAAAGTCTATAATTCAGTTCGCTAAGAAACAAAAATATAGGTCAAATCAAGGTAGAGCTATGCCTTAAAGTTTATCAAAATCTTGGTAAAAGGGGAGGGCACGACATCGAGGCGCGAAATAATGCGTTATAGACAATTATCGCCGGTACTGGTGTCAGCTAGTACAATTCAAAGATTTGTTGCATAGCATATAGATAGGGCTCTACGTTTAACCTTTAAATTTTGTAAATTCTTTTCGAACTACCAGTACATTGGAAAAATTGTTGGAAACCAAATAAAAAAAATCGGTCGATAAGAGATTCAAGTAAAAACGAGCAACTGCCTAATGCGCGCGAAAACCAAAGTGACCATGTCTCGATGGATTTCAGTTTCGCAGCGGGGTGATCGAAAGCCTGGGTAAGCTTCTCTGGACCAATCAAAGCGAAAAATGTGAAGTGTAGCAAATCACCAGTACAATCATCCTGGATTACTTTTAAAACTCAATTGAAAATATCTGTATTCAGAACCTCAAGAAATTTAAATTTCTTCTCTTTCTAACAGGGAAAGATTTGCGCTCGAGAAACGGCAACAAAGAGAGGAGCACTGGACTCGAATGACGTGTTTATAATTGACAGTGGACTCAAAATTTACCAGGTGATGACGCCTTGTACTAAATACCTTGGCACGAGATATATATCTTATTAACCAAGCGCGAGGGCCGTACTGGGAGAATATCGACCTGAGGTCTTGACAGTACGGACCGAGCGCAGCGAGGTCCGTACAAAAAAGACCGAGGGCCGATATTCTCCCAGTATGGTTCCAAGCAAGCTTGGTTAATGAGAGATTTATTATACGACTGTAGTTCAAAGGGACACAGGTGCGGTATCATTCGGGACCATTCGGGACAGTGCCCGGTCCAATACTTAGAGAATATTGGACCGGCAATAGAGCATTTTGATTGGTT